GGGGGGGGGGAATGGCCGAAAAACAGTTCAGTCAGTAGCACCGCAATTTCCCTTATGTTGTGCTTGCAGTTTCCAAAGACACTCAAGTTTTGGATGTCATGAAACTTGGGCGACCATTTTCTCACTACTTTTAAAACTCTGACATTTAACAGGCAACCCCACTTCCTTCCACTGGAAAAACTATCTCGACTTTCATTCAAGATAGATCGGTATTGTTTCACCAAAAGAATGACGAAACAACTAGTTTAAGGTAAAACCAACAACATCATATACCCAAAAACTGTCAAGCGCTTGATTCCGCAATGTTATGACGCAAGTAATGAACATCACCATGAAGTGCCAGATCAAGAACAGGCACCAGTGATCAGGTTTTCAATTTCATTTCTCTGTTCAGATGCTCTAAAAACGATTATTTGTATTATCCTGTTCTTTGCCCGCCAGTCACCTGTTCAGGTCTTTGAACGTTGAGTAACGTTTCTCTTTGTCTACCCCTGCTCCGTTTGAATTTTATTTTTCCAGTGAGAATAAAATATATAATCTTTTATGTCGATTCAAGTGTCCTAGAAATTGAATTTGTCGATTCCTTTATATTGTTCTCATTAGGGAATGTGGGATAAAAACGGTAATAGTAGCAATTTTATTTATTTATTTATTTATTCATTCATTTATTTATTTATTTATATGTGTATTTGCTTATTTATTTATTTATTACTAATTATTCTATTTATTTTGCCTTTATCTGGCTTATTTCATTTTGTCAATCAATATCATATTATTGTGTGTTTGCATATGTGTGTGTGTGTGTGTTCATGTGTATGTCGATAAGAGTGTAAGCCATGTACACTGGAAACACAAGCTCACATTTACACAAAAGCATCTTTCCTGGTGCATTTCTGGTGCCTTCGGCTTTGTTCCGAACAAGGGCACCAGAAATGCCATATTCACCTTAACAATGTTAATGGAAAGATGTATTAAAGCACAGAAAGATCTGTGTTTATGCTCCATAGATTATTCAAAGGCGTTCGATAAAGTTAGACATGGTGAGCTGTTTAAAATACTGGAAAAGCTAGACATAGATGGAAAAGATCTAAGAATTATCAGGAATTTGTACTGGGATCAAAACGCTGCTGTACGAATTAATGGAGAATACAGTGAATATAAGCAGATTTAGGCGAGGAGTGGGGCAAGGATGTGTTACGTCACCTGACCTCTTTAACATGTACAATGAAACAATCCTTAGAAACATAGAAGAATGTCCAGGTCTCAAAGTAAAATGGGGAAAAGATTAATAACATCAGGTATGTAGATGACACAGTTTTGATAGCAGGCTCAGAAAAGGACCGTCAATTGCTTCCAGATACTGTTGTAACAGAAAGTGAACGTAAAGGATTATTGTTGACTGTAAAGATCTGGCACTGAATGATGATGATGATGATGATGATCTTTCCTTCCAGACTTGAACACGCGGCCAGTCATCACCAACTTGCCCGAGACGTTATCCATCAACGAAGACGCACTCAGCGGGGACCTGCTGATTACCTTGACCTTGG